CATAAATTGGAACTTTGAGGAATCTTTTGCCTTGGACTCTGATTTACTTTTGGATGCTATTTGGAATCCTTGACATTAACCCGAATCTGACATCGGGCATGGCCAGCTCGATGTCACTCATGTTGGGGTGTTCATGGTGGCCCGAGTGCTCTGCCAGCAAAAATGGGCTCTCAAGTTGCCAGCAAAGGACTGGCCTCCTGCAACCCTCTGCCAATGAAAACAGAGCTCAGGAGGGCTGCGCATGTCTCTTCCTGGCTTTATTTTCACTGGCAGAGACACTGCTGGCCGGTGCTTTGCTGTTTCCCAGGCAGCCCCGTGGGCCAGATCTAAGCACCTGTGGGCCAAATCCAGCCTATGGGCCTTGAATTTGACACCCTGGGCTAGAGAGACAAGTAGCTTCTACTGTATCTCTTTGACTTACAGCAACTGAAACACTCAGTGGTTCTCAACCTATGTGGCCATGGACCAGAGGTCGGTTCCTACCGGTTTGGACTGGTTCGGACGAGTTTGTATTAACTTGGCTGGCCACCCCCCTGAACTGGTTCTATTGGCAGAGCCATAGGTGGCACCATCTTGTTTTTTACTTCTGCGCATGTGCAGAAGCAACTTTTTTCCTATTGCGCATGCGTGCATAGTGCGCCCGAAGTGCGTCCCTGAGCAAACTGGCAGTAGAAGAAGCCGGAACCCACCCCTGCCATGGCCCCATGGCCAGGGGGACCCCTCCATGACTTAACTCAAGATTTAAAGCACAAACGATTTTGCCTTTATAATAACCCACATGTCTACTAAGGGTCCCCACCTTCTGATTATGGCTGGAATACAGAAGGTACCCCAGTGAGAACGGCTGGGGAAATAGCGAGCTCTGTCGAGCTATGCGAAAACCCAGCTGGCAAGCCGTTGTTGAGAGGTCCTTTGTGGATTGGAACCGTCCTGAAGGGACGGGACACAAGGAGGGGCATTTTGGATGCCTGTGAGGGGCGAGGCAACTCCCCAACAGGTCCAATTCAAAGCTCTCTGGAAATCAGCGGCGGGGGTGGCAGCCATCTTTGTATGACTGCTCCGGAGACGGGGCATCTGGAACAAGATTTGTGCAGGTGCGGAGAAGCGGAGGAAGATTGACTGATGTAAGAGTAAGAGAAACAAATTGTGGAGCTTAAAAGTTTCCCGGAGCTAAGCTAGCGGCTAAACATCGCTCGGAATACGGAGGACGGAGAGAAAGGAGGAGACAACTATTGGTGAGAAAGTACTGAGACCAAGAAGAACTTTGTTAATAAATTTGAAATTGGAAAAACCTAAAAGCCAAAAAAATAATAATAATGGGAAAATCAGGAAAATTTGAATATGGATTTGGAATTTTTGGTTCGACTACTGGATTAACTCATATTATTGTACAACACATGGAATGGAGGCTCGAGATCGAACTATTAATGCATGTATTTATTCCTCCAACCCAACTGATGTTAAGTATCTCATTCTCAACAGATCCAGCGGTTCCCTTTGTCCCATCCTCCCCCGAAGATTTGTTCATTGTGGTCAGTGAGGAAGACAATTCTTCCATCATCCCCTGTCGCACGACCGATCCTAACACTCAAGTCACCCTGATGAACAAGGAAGGGAAAATTCTGTATGCCTCTTACGACAACAGGCTGGGCTTCATTGGAAACTTCTCTTTGGGGTCCTACATATGCAAGACAACTGTCAAAGCAGTCGAATTCCAGTCCGGTGAATTTTTCATCTATGTTTACAAAGGTAACGTCTCTTTTTGCTTTTCAATCGAAATGGATAAATGACAAGTTTGAGTCTCCTTAGAATCTCAGTGTTTCTCAACCTTGGCGACTTTATGTCCTGTGGACTTCAACTCCCAGAATTCCCCAGCCAGCTATGCTGGCTGGGGGATTCTGGGAGTTGAAGTCCACAGGACTTAAAGTCGCCAAGATTGAGAAACACTGCTTTAGATGCTTCGTGAAAACGTCCCAACTGCTTCTCGTTAAAGACACGGTCATCTTATGTCCAAGTAGTCCTCGACTTACGACCACAAACGAGTCCAACAACATTTCTGTTGTCAAGTGAGACATTTCTTAAGTGAATCCTGCCCCATTTTACAATTGTTAAGAGAATCACTGCCGTTGNCCCACTAGTGGGCGGTAGGGACCAGGTTGATTACCATTGGTCTATGTTATCCACTCCATTTTTGGCTGATGATTTTGTCGTTGTCCCCGTAACCTTAACCTCCACGGTCCTTTCCAGCCCTATGATTCTAAGTATTGGTTGAACAGAACATAGAGTAATTCTGCTTTATTCCTTGTTGCTTTGTCAATCAGTGCCAGGTCGACAAAAATCACACACCTTTTTGGTTTTTTCCTCCCTAAAATGAGTCAGATTATAAGTCCCAGCACTCCCAATTGGCTTTGGTTGAAGAGAAGTAAGGCCAGTGATCTTAACTCTTGTCGGTGGAAAAAGAAATATAAACGCTATAAATTTGATTTAGGATGAGAGAGAGAAGAGGTACTTCAGAATGGTGACATTTTGGTCTAATGAATCTTATATTACTTATGTCAGGGGTGAAATTCAGCAGGTTCTGACAGGTTCTGAAGAACCGGTAGTGAAAATTTTGAGTAGTTTGGAGAACTGGCAAATACCACCTCTGGCTGGCCCCAGAAGTGGGGAGGGAATGGGGATTTTGCAGTGTCCTTCCCCAGCCGTGCCCACCAAGCTAAGCCCACAGAATGGGTATTAAATTTTTTTAATTTCACCACTGACTTTTATACATATATTTTTGCTTCCATTAAAAGAATTACTTTCTTCTTACTGTGTTGCGGTATTTTTTTAATCATAGTTTTTTTAACCCCCCCTCACAGATATCAGAGTGTACTAAAGTTAATTCGTGCCAAGGAAGAAGACAGTGGATATTATACACTAGTAGCCCAGAATGAGGATGAAATCGAAAGATACACTTTCTCTCTGCTCATACAAGGTAAACTTGCAAAATGGGACAAGCCATGATCAATTATCAATAAAGGAGAATATTTGTAGTTCAGGATTGAAAAGAAGGGTCCTTGGTGTTCTCTGAGCTTGCTTATTTTCTTACAGACATTTCATTACCCAACTAGCTAACATCATCAGTGCTATTAGCCAGAAAACAAGCAAGCTCAGACAAGCCAATATTACAATACATCATATGGAAAAAGCATGTGAGGTATAAATATAACATATCAAGTCCAGTGTGTAACTCTATATTTATAAAAACGTGTGTGTGTGTGTGTGTGTGTGTGTGTGTGTGTGTGTATGTTCCAGCATAA